TTTTATCCCCCCCACCCCCCACTCCCCCCCGCCTCTGATCAAATTCTAATTCTACCAGTTGAGGGAGAGCTTGACGAGAATGACAGATGTTTGGATGCCTCTTGCAGACGTGGTTTTAAGATGGCCACATCTGTTTTTCCACACCTGAAATACTTGAATACACTATGGCTCTACTTCATGGGAGTTAGGAGCCTGGGAAACTAAAGAAAAAAAACCTACAGTGACTTTCCCAAGACAGTAAATCACATTAGCAGCAAAACTGAGGAATAGACCCTAGGACTGCTGCCTTCTGTGAAGTCATCTTGAGACTTTTAATGAATTCTAGGATGTGCAAGTTACAGATCCCTTACAAAGAATCAAAATTCTTTGATCCTGTTGAAAGGCTCACATGAAATAGGAGTTGGTGGCGGGAGAAGCATCCTCCCCTGCACACGAGCACCCCAGGAATGGAAATGGAAATCAGCTGCCTCCCTGCTGCCTTCTAACAGCTGTTTTTTGTGTGCTCTGCTAGCACCATGACACGCTGCTCCCACGAGCAGTCCCCCTTCCAGCTCCTTCATGGAGAACCGCACATCTTTGAAGAAGTGCTCGGCCTGAAGTTTCGCATCTCTCCAGATGCCTTTTTCCAAGTAAACACGGGTGGAGCAGAAGTTCTGTACCAGGCGGTTGGGGAGCTGAGTCAGGCTGGTGGGGACGCTGTCCTCCTCGACATCTGCTGTGGAACGGGTGAGCAGTGGCTGTGTGACCCTGGCTCCCGGGGCTGGTGCTTTGTGTGCCAAAAATGATCCCCACTTTCTAAAGGCTTGTTTCTTCAGCATGGATGTACAGCGTATTTTTATATCCCTCTTTTCCAGGCACAATTGGTCTCTCTCTGGCTCACCAGGTGTCCAAGATTATTGGTATTGAGGTGGTGGAGAAGGCAATAGAAGATGCCAGGTGGAATGCAGCGTTCAATGGTGAGTTCAAACTCGCCGTGGCGGAAAATTTCAAACTAACCACTGAAAAATCGGAAGCAGAAGTGAGCGGGTGGATCCCAACAGGTTACTTCCACGCAGCAAAGAGCAGTACTACATGTTATACCTAATGTCTGGTGAGACTGACTCTGCTCAGTTCATGTGGTTGCTTTTTGCTTCACAGGAATTTCAAACTGTGAGTTTCACAGTGGAAAGGCAGAGGCCGTGTTACCACAACTCCTGTCGTCGTGGGAGGATGCCCGACCCCTTGTTGCTGTGGTGAACCCATCTCGGGCTGGGCTCCGTGAGAGAATATGCTATTTATTTGCATCTTGAAAACAGAGAATTTTTAACAAGTTCTGTGAGACCCGTTATACTGGCTCCAAACCCTCTGCTCACTTAGTCTCTAGGTTCTTACCTTGTTGCTGACAGCAGCTAAAATCCCATAGAGTCTGCTGTTTTCAGTGCCTTTATCATGCTTTCTCTTTAAAGCAGCCAGCTCTAATCTTTTTGCCACCTTTTGTAGGCTCACAGAATTATTTAGGAGAGAAGGAGCCTCTGGAGGTCTGTGGTGCAATCTCCCAGCTAAAGCAAGGTCAACTTCAGAGTTGTATGAGGTTGCACAGGGCTATAAAGCCCAGTTGAGGTTTGAATGTGTCCGAGGGTGGGTACCCTCTCCGGAAAATGTTTTCCCTAATATATTTAATCAGAATTTCCTCTTGCTGTAGTGCATGTGTTGCCTCTCATGCTCTTCTTATGCCTCCCTGAGAAGATTCTGCCTCCATCTTCTCTGTAATCCCCCATGAGACCCCTGAAGATAGCAAATGGATTCCTGCTCACCTTCTCTTCCCCTGACTGAATAGCCCCAGCCATCACGCTCTCCTCATGCGTGCCGTGCCTCAGCCCTCTAACTGTCTTAGTGGTCTCTGCTGGACTTGCTCCAGGGTGTACTGGGAAGTCCCAAACTGGTCCTGGTGCCCAGATGCAGTCTCACAAGTGTATGTGGGAGGTTTTACATGCCTCTGCTTAATTAAGTAACAATTTTTGTCTCATCCTTCATCTCCCCGGGAAGCAGAGGGATTTCCCCCACTGCTCTTCCCTCCCAAGTTGGCTGAGCTCTTAGCAGCATGAGTCGCATCGCTGGCCTCCTAAGAGCCTGCATCTGAGACAGGACATGGCAAAATGTGTATATTCTTTTCCCCCTGTATTTTTAACAGTTCAGTGAAGTTCTGTGATGCTTACTGTGCAATCATTCCTTCTGGAGAGCTCACGGTGGTGGTGGGTCACTGGGAAAGCATGGTATCTGTTTTTGCAGATTACAGGGTTGTGCGAGCCATCCGAAACTGCAAGTCCATCCGAAGGCTGCTCTACATTTCCTGCAAGCCAAAGGGAGAAGCCATGAGGAACTTTCTTGAGTGAGCACCCTCCTCTCTTCCTTTCCACTGGCCTTAGTGGCAGACCCTATTATGTCCAGACAAGGACATAAATATCTGACTTTGGCTTAGGAAGGTTTTTCGTGCAACTGAATTTCACTGGGTGAGTTCTGCAGGTGTGATCCAGGACTAGTCAGTGCATGGTCAGAAGTGGTTTATGCTTCTGTGTTCCTTTGGGTTTACCTGCAAGCTGCACACGCTGGTTTAAGGTAGCAGGTATTCTTTGGGTTTTATGTTCCAGCAGAATGCTTTAGTTTATCAGTAAAGAACAGAAAAGAATGCAAACATGCTATAATGTCATTGGGCATCCTTCCCCAACAAAACAACACATCTGGATGCAGGATACGGAGTCCACTGGATTCACTGCAGGAAGGTTGGCCCCTAGCTGATGAAGTGAAGCCAAGGGGATTAGTCACCTGCTTAGGGTTAATCATATAGCTAAGTCTTCATCTGGGGCAGGCCCATTTGCAGGTGATAAATCTGTCTGCAGGTAACCAATGAAGGTAGTACAAAACTTAGTATTATTTCCTACGGGTATTAAGTGTCTCTCAGCTGGGATGGCTCGTGAGAAAGGGAGCTTTAATCCTGCCACTGACTCTCCAGCTTGTCCGTGAGGTTTTCAGAGCTGGTTTGGGATTCAGTTATTGATGGTTCCAGACCTCAGCCACTGCCAGCTGCAGTCTCTGAGGGATGTTAGCCAAACACACGATACCTCCTGTGTGCATCCTCTGTGCTGTTGTGCTGCTGACAATGTGCTGGCTTCTGCTGCTGGTCTAAAGGATGCTCTCTTTGCTTTCCACAGGCTGTGCTGCCCACCTGACCCAAGGAAGAAGCTGTCAGGAGAGCCGTTTGCCCCCACGTTGGCTATACCTTTTGACATGTTTCCTCATACTGTTCATTGTGAGCTGGTGCTGCTGTTCACCCGCTGACGAGGAGGCAGGTATGCCAGCTCTGAGAGCTTGGGCAGCAACCTCCTACTGTCCTCAAGACTAGAGTCGATGTAGTTGGGATTTTAATTTATTTTCTTTAAAGTTGTATGAAAATAAATAATTTTGCTTTTGCTCTTACTTTGGGTTGCCTAACTACACTGTTCTGTAAGAAAACACTTGGGTTTCTGGGGTGAAAATGTTCTCTGTAGCCTTTCAGCACCCTTTCCTCCCCTTCAATCCTCCTCTTGGGCTGGTCGTTGAAGCAGCCTGGAAAATACCCTCTCCCTGGTATTGTGGGTTTTCACCATCAGCATGTGAATATGAAGTACTAAAATCCACTGTATTTTCTAATACTGCCATGCCATTAGTTCTCAGCTTGCTTCAAGGATATTTCAGGTGTTTTTCGAGTTGATAGTGAACTTGCTATGAAGAAACTGTAGGAACCATAAATCCTTGTGCTTCACTGGGAAAATGCTGACTCTTGGGGTCAGGGGAATATTGCCTGTATAAACTTCCAAACCCAATATTGAATCGCTGTCAGTCATCTGGATAAGTTGAGACAATGAGAAAGATTTTTCTATAAAACAAAATGAAGGGAGAACAGATTTCAGTGTCTCTCCTTCAACACCTGTCCCCCCTTCTCCACTAATGCTTGCTGATACCTAAATATGAAGCGGCCTGTGAAAATGTCAGCAGCAACAAGTTATTTCCTCATCAGGTTGCTTCGCAACAGCTAATTCAGAAACGTGGTGTGTTTTGTATCTGTCCTGCTGTGCTTAGTGACTGGCAAGCTATGAACTTCATGAAGTTCTCTCCAGCTCTTCAAAAGACGGAGAGGCTACAACCTGGAGGTAGGTCTGAGAGAGCAGAGTTCCCTTGTGTTTTGTGAACTCCACATTGTTTTGAGAGCTCCTTTTATTTTTAGTTTTTACTTTTGTGTTGAATTAAAGTTACCTTTTGGTTTATCCTGGTTACCTAGGCCAGACCAGTAGCAGAACACATTTCTACAGGCAGGCT